ATCCAATAATTTTTTCTTTTTGATACAAAATAAAAGCATATAGCATGACAATGCTTTGGAATGTTATGACCATCCAAGAACAAAACTATTGTCTTACTACATGTTAGGTATAATGTAAGGTTTATAAAATTTTATGTGAATATTTATTATGGGTTTATGGAGGATCGGAAAATTTTTTTTTTTTTATTAGTTTTCTTTTATTTATTTTGGTAATAAAAATATTTTACTTAAAGTTTAATATTGGTTTCTATAGATTTTTTTTTCTAAATCCTTGTCAATTTTCAAAAAACTGAAGAGAAAAAAAAAAGAATTGTTATTTTTGCTGTATTAAACTTTATTAAGATTTTGAAATTTATAACTTTAATTTCAGAAACAAAAAAAAAAGGAATGCGATCTTAAGAAAATTTTTAAATTTTATACAAAAGATTTAGTTTTACTAATAATAAAATATTGTGAATTTATTCAAAATTGTTGAAATTTTTAATTTACGAACTAAATTAAATTATTTAGTACGTGACAAAAATTCAGGATATATAAAAGTGTTTTAATTTATGCAAGATTTTTTTTCTGTGCGTTTATTTGTTATTTTAAATTTTATAATTTTATTACCGAAATATTGTTAGATTCTAAATAATTTTCAAACTTATAATCAATAAATCTGTAGCTATATTAATTATGATTTCAATTTATAACTCAATAAAGAATTTCGCAATAATTAACAAAAAAATATTAAAAATTCAAAATTCAAAACTAGTGAAATTTTCAAATAAATAATTTTAATTGAATAATATGGTCTTCTTTGGAAATTTTGGGAAAACTTTCTATATGCGTGTTATAAATACAAGTATTCTAATATTAACATAATTAATTTTTGATAATTATTATTTCCTTAGCCCTAAAATCCCATAATATCACTTTTATTATAAAAGGAAACCACTTTTATTTTCCCCCACACAACATCGACTCACCCCAGTGTACATATGTTTATGTACACTGTTATAATATGTTTGTGAACATATTATACCGTATGTTTTTTTATGTGGAATTGGATGTACCATTGACATAAAGCCTCATCCCCTTACTAAAGTATCTACCTATATTTTTCTAAACAAATGACTAACAAAATATCTTAAATGGTATTAAAATTTTTTTTTTTGCTGTTAAATCTCTAAGATCATAGAAGATTAAATCTGTTAGAAGATTAAATTAAATGATAGATTGTTTTTTTTTTTGTTTTGTTTCTTAATTCGATTTGGATAATTAATTATTTGTACATTTATCTTATTGGTTAAATGATGCAATTACTTAATTATCACCTTATTTTTATATTTCTCTTCTTTAATTCATAAATATAGACATACATGTATATCGCACCTATGAAGCAATACTGGTATGACACAAAATATTTAGCAAAACTCATGGTTTGTAAAATAGAACATTTTCGTCTAACAATTTATATTAAGCATGTATTTTGTATTGCTCTGAGTTTTGTTTTTAAAACCGATCTTCTATTGAAGCAGTTTTCTTAATAATAAATTAACGTATAATAATTATAATTTATATTAGTGTAAACCCGATTTTAAGGTAAAATTTGACCAAAAGACAAATTATGAAAGGTTTTATTATGTTAATTTCAAACAATAGTCCCACATATGCACCTTAAGCATTTTTACAAAACGTATCATCTAGGTAAATCCAATATACTGTGGGGATCATTTCTTAACAACTTCTCTTTCGTGTCTTCATCAACTAATCGGATATATAGAATGAGATGCAACATGGCTTGGATATTCCCGGTCAATAGACGAATTATGGTAACAGTTGGAAGGCGTAAATAACTTATATTTGACAAAATATGTCTGATTGCACTTGTGCATTTCAATTTCGACTGAACCGACTTTAATTTTTTTTATAATTTTTAAGAAAATATTTAACAGATTAACCTGAAATTTTATATATACTCGTAAGCTAGGTCGAACAATACTTTTTTAAGGAAATTATTGGCGTCGATTTAACACTTGTTTTACTTTATATCAAATTTTAAACGAAATAATAACGAAATTTCTTGAATTTTAATATTTGACGTCTTTTTGTTACCTGAAGAACTTTTCATTGAATTCGGATGACGCGAATCTCCAATAAAAACAAAATTTACATTTTTCTGTTGATATTATAACTTAAAGCTTAATAGATCTCTTAAATTTCGAAAGAAGTGTTTAAAACATATTTTATTGATCTTGTATAACACTTTCGCTCAAACTCTAATACACTTTGGAATCGGCTTTGTGCTGATTACATCAGATTTCTCTATTATAATTTCGATTATTTTAATTACTAAAAAATTTATTTTGAAGTAGCTTTTTTTAAAAAGTGAAGTAGCTTTGTACAAATTTTATATAATATTTTTTATTTTTTTTTTTCATTTAAATTGAATTCCCTAGAATTTGAAAATCTTTTATTTTTGTTTTACAAACCATTAAAATTGTTGATTACATAAAGCGGTGACTAAATGTCGTCTTCTAATTGCGAAAAGATTAAATTTTATCATTCATTTTCCTTATGTACTTAGAAATTTATTTAAATATATAAATATATATATATATAAATCTTTTGCACACATACATTCCTACAAATTCATTTTTTTTGTTTTGTTTACAAATCTTTCATTAAAAGTTGCTTCAATCACGTAATTTGGATTAGAAGAAAATCTGTTATAAGCTACCCATATTTTTTTTTGTATTTTGTTTTTTTTCGAATACTTAATTTGAACTTCCAATTAATTCTACTTATTTTTTTTAAGGTCATTATATAAGTGTTTTAAATTTAAGTGTTTATAAAAAAAAAATCCTTTTTAACAAAAAAAACAAAAAATCAAAAAATAAGTAAAAAAAAGCTTTATTATTTTTAAAAGTCCCAACAATTTAAGGATTGAAATTGTCTTAATTACCTTGACTTCAAAAAAAAAACTAAAAACAAAACAAAAAAGAGAAAAGCGAAAAAAATTAAAAAATTATAATAATAAGAGAAAAAACAACAAAAAATACAGAAAAAAAAATTATCTTTCTCTTACTTTAGGTTACGACATCCTTTTTCTTTTCGTTAATATCCTTATATATTTCGCTTTTGAATTTAAAGTAAATTAAGTTAAGTAATTATATCACATGTAAAAGTACTTATTATTTGTATGTAAGTATGTGAATTATTTATGTGAATGGATGATATGGGGTTGTGTCTACACAATATGTAAGTAAGTAAGTATAAAAGCGCTGATAAAAAATTTTGTTAGAAAAAAAAAACAAAATAGAATTTCTCTTTTAGCGAAAAAAATTTTAGAAGGGGGAAAAAATAATTTCAAGGTGATTATTTATAGGATTTTCTGTATTTCTTTCTAATTTTTATTTTTTGTAGAAAAAAAATTGTACCAGAATAAGGATATTTGAAAAAAGTCCCCCAAATGATTAGAGAATGAATTCCAAAGGATTTTAGAAAAAAAAAACAAAATTTTTTTAATTAAAAGACATTGAAAAAACAAATTTGATTTAAAAGTTTTGATGCGAAAAAAACAAAAAATTTTTTTTTTGTATTTTCGAGATTAAAAATTTTAATATTTCAAAAATTTTAATGTAAAAAAAAATTCATTTTCAGAAACAATAGAAGAAACAATCAATTTGTAATTTTGAATTAAAGTTAAAAAAATTTATTTTGGTTTTGGAATGGGGTTCTTGAATCTATTTTTTAAATATTTATCTGGGACATTATTGTGTATTTTCAATCTGAAACAATTTCAAGGTTTCACTTGTTGTGTTTAGAAAAGTCAATTATTTTCCAACGAAATGTGCATGGTGTGATCGGTCGTGAGTTATTAACTTTAGGTGGTTTTTCGGCAAATTACAGAAAACAGGAAAATTAGCCGACTTAGTAACAAACAATCGACTTGAAATCGATTATGCAGCAAATAATGAACCAGTTTAAATGAAAATTTTTAACCCAGATTTAATCGAAATCGGACAGATCTGGGAATAAAAATAATTGTGTATAGAATTTCAAAGGCTAAAATTAACAATTTTATGCTAGAAATTAAATTAAAATTGACTACCAATACATTTTAAAAATGTATTGGTAGCAAATCATAGGCCAGTGCTATTTCGAACTTTAAGTTCGAATATGAAATTTTAAGTTTGGCTCAGCAGTCTTTAATTGATATTAATTGCCTTTAATGAACTAATGAGGGCAATATCTAATATTTATGAAATTTCTACAGTGATTCAACCGAAATTTTCCAAAAGTGGAAAGTATCCTGCATATTTCATTAAATATGAGCGTTAGAATAGTAATCGAGACATTTTCACACTGCGATAAAAACTGAAAATACTAATTTCTAATTTTTTCTACTTTATTTTAAAAATAAAAACGAAAAAAAATTATAATAGTAAATCATTAAGAGATTACAATTTTCAGAACAGAAAAGTTATTGAAAAAGTAATTGTTATTATTAATATAATGTCAAGTCATTAACATAATCGAGGTTTCAGCACAACACCAAAATATAAAAAATTTACATAACTTCTATGAATAGATACAATATGAATTTGTAAGAATGAATGTGTCAGTGTTGGAGTAATCATAGCTCAGTCATTGAATAACGAAGTAATTCTATTTTGTATTTACTTTTCTGTTTTTTTCTTATGCTTTTTGTATTGTTAAACGAAATGAATGGAAAATGGAGAAAATGTTGAATCGATATGCTCAGATACGTATAACATTAACTTAAAATATATACGGTTTTCTTCTTTTAACAGAAATGGTATATATATAACAAAACAGCTTTTTCTTAAGTTAAATCCTATTTGAAATGTTTAGGTAGATTTATTTATGGTATATTGGTGTATAAGTAGGATAGGCAAATGAATATCATGTACCTATCAAATTATGTATATATACAAGGATAAAAATCATCTTCTAAATTTCAAATCAAAAAAAGAAAAAAAAAAGAAACTTACCTGAAGGTATCAAGTATCATTGTAAATAGCACAAATTTTCCTAGAAGTGGTACGACTAATGATGTCGGGGGAATAATTTCCGCCAGCAATAAGAAGAACACAGTCAGTGAGAGCAGAATAGATATGCTTAATGATACCTGTAACAAAAAAGAAAAAGAAATACAAAAATGTAAATATAGGGAAAATATGAAGAAAACTGAATTTAACAATAAAAAAAATGTTGTCTTTTGTTATTCATACAAAAAAAAAAAGATGTATCGATCTTATGAATTTTAAGATAAAACGTTTTTTATGTTTCTCTTATTTCTTCTTTTTGTGGGACATTCAAATCCCAATGGATCAACAATGGTTCTATAGAGGAATTATAAAATATTGAAAAAAAATTCTTTAAAGAGTACAAAATAATAAGAAATCTCGATTAGCTGGAAGGTTTTCGTATACAAAATTGAAATTCTTAACTCGCATGTAGCGCAAAAAAAAACTAAAATTCAGGTGAATCGCTTAATGTGCATGCAAATTGATTGAATAATATTTTTTCTAAGACGATTAAAATATAAAAGTACTTAAAGTATTTAAAATGTAGTCAATTTCATAAAAACGGGAAGAATAGTAACAAAATCAAAGAATTTTTAAAGCGTAAGGAAATGAGATAATTTTTTAAAGAGATCAAGTACGAGTAAACATAAATGCAATTTTAAAAAGGTAGAACACAAGTTATTCGTATGGAAAAAAAATTTTGATTTAGTACTCTAAATTCTGTAATATACCATCAAATTGAATAGCCAAGCAAAATAACTGCAATGATAGTCAGCACCGTGATCACAATGATATTTAACACACAATTATTAAAAGTGGGTAACTTTGAAAGCGAAACAAGTTTGCGAAACAACTGAAAAGTAACCTTTAATTCTACATCTATTTATACAAGATACCTCATATAGTTCTCATCAGGTAAGAATAAATAGGGTGAGTATCACAATATTTTCAAATAATGTAATTTTTAAAAATTTTCCATTCTTAGTATTGCATTTTCCCCCCAAAAATATGCAAAATTCACTTATCAATTTATTTTACAGGTAAAATGAATAATTTTTAAACCTAAGGATTCTTATCAGCAGCAGTATATCGCATGGTTTAAAATTATATTTATATACTCAAGGATTTAGAGATTCAGTTATGTGTTAATTTTGATTATTCAATTAGAGAATTATAAAGCATGAGATAACCGAATAGGTCAAATAATTAAAAGTATTCGAGCACTAGTGAAACAATTGCAGAAATAACAATTAAATTAAGTTTATAACATTTTTAAAGATAATCGTGTATACTTCTAGTTTCTAAATAATTCCCCAACAGAAGCAATTTATGTTTATATGTATTTAATACAGGAGTATTTAAAGGAGTCAAAATGCATCTAAACTGGATATCTAGTCGACATATGCATTTTCTCCATAATTTAATTTTGTTTTTAATTTTGGACTTGTTCGCATACATTAAATCGCCCCAAAATTTATTTTGGCGAAACTAGATGTTATTTAGTGTATTTAAGTTGTTTTTGTTCACTTTCATATTTTATACATATATGCGAAATCTAATTTATTCGAATTTTGTTCTATATCCAAACTGATGATTCCAAAAGATAAAGTATTTTTTTTTCGATACGTTGCTATAAAATTTTATAACTAAATTTTGAATTTATTTATGTGTTTTTATGTGTTTTTTTTTAAATATAGAAGAATATTATTTATGTACGCATAAGTATTACGTATTTACCTTTGTTAGATATTGTTGTGCGTTATACACTGCAAAAAATGTAAACCATATTTATTTTGAACTGTTAAGTTTAAAATAGACCTTTAAACTATTTTAGTTTAAATTAAAAATTAGTAAAGTTCATTTTCTACAATTTTAAACCCAGAAGCTTAATTTTCAAATTTCTAACTTATTTAAAATTTAAAATTTCAAATTTAAAATTTGGCAGACATGTAATTTTTAGTTTTGCAACAGTTTGATAGCTTATATGAAGTCCATAGGCATTTAAGCAATGAAACTGATTAAAATTTTTAGTTAAAGCAAATCACTTGAATTGATTGCGCAACGATTTTACAATGTGCCCAATTGTTAATCTTGCCTGGGCCCAATTGCTAATTTAAAAATCTAGTTTAAACCATACTTCTTTTTGAAACTTTACTATACTACAAAATTCAAATTAAAAATTTAAGAATGTAAACTCTAAACTTCTCTATTTAAATTTTTGGGCTTACATTTTTTGCTTTTTAAACCCTCTAATTAATATGTTGAACGTCAATATGTGTAAAATGATATAAAAATTCATTTTGATCTACAAAATCCAGAAAGCTAACACTTGTATAAATAACTTAACTATATTTTAAGCCAAAAATTTTGACACACATTTTGACAGTTTTATTGTGGAATTGTGTAACTACATTTTTATGCAACGGGGATGAAGTGCATAGCATATCGATGTTTTATTTAGTAGATCTCATTACCATACTGATGTTTACATAAACCTTATTGCAGATGATGTTAACACTCTCAATAACATTATCTGCGTTAATAACAAAGTTTGCCACAGCAGATCATAAAAATTTATAATTTTTTTAGTTTGTGGATTTTGAGATTTAATTTTAAATTATAAACTAAAATTTTTTTCAGTGTAAATTCGTGAGTTTCTTTATAACGTCGATCGATGAAACTTTACAATCAAGAGCATACATAGATTTTATGTCTGAATAACATTAATACGTCTGTCATGTGATGGTTGTCTTAACATTTTGTATAAGAGGATTGGTTGGTTTGTAACGTTGACTAAATAAATTTGAATATTTATATATTTATGTTATCTGTTATGTTATATGTTATGTTTGTTATTAATAATAATGTACTGGTACATAAATTCATTTCTTATTCTTATATTTTGTTTTAAGAAGAATGACATGGAGCTTTGCTTTGATTATTAAAAATAATACATACATACATATTATACATACATATTTTTCATTTAAATATATGTACTTATGTTTGTATACTTATACATTTTTTCTTTTTTTTCATATTATATAAGGTGTAAAAAAGCCTAAATATAATTAAGTTCATCTTCTTTAAAGACTTAATTTGTCATTTTTATTATGCGTACATGTGTACGTATATACATTTATCCTGTTTTTATGTATATATTATGTTTGTTTGTTTGTTTGTTTGTTATAAGTTAAGAAATAAACAAGTGAAATTAAAGATATGAGGGTATAAGAAAACATAAAAGGATAATATTTATTTTTCATAAAAATGCGGTACATATACGTGCATACATACGTATATAAGTATGTATTTACATAAATCTTTAATAGAATTTATTGGATTCAATTCATTTACTTGATTGATATGATAATTTATCTTTTTAAATACATTAAGTTTTTATTTATATATTATTATAGTGAATTTATTAGATGAGAAAAGTTACAGTTAGAAAATATACAACTAGAAAATGATGTAGGAATTAAATATACTTTATTTTTTATAAATAATTATTTTTATTATAGTTTGCAAATGGTTCCTTTTTGATATTTTCAACTATAAACTACAATATACAAGGTGATTCAGAAAGTTATACAACAACATATACCATGGGTTAGAAGATCGAAAATAGGTAAAACTTTTGTTCCGGACTGGTGAATTTTCACGAAATTTTTTTTATGCAGGTTTTTTTGATTATAACTTCGGTGCTGAAAAGGATAGGATCTTCAAACAAACAGTTTCAGAAAGGCTTAGTAAAAGTCTTAAAATAGAAGTGATTCATTGATTCTGTATTTTATGTACCTACGGAATACCAAGCATTCGAACTTTAACGAAAATCAAATTTTTCCCTTGATTTTTTAGTTTTTTCTAGCTAGATAATTTCTTAAGAAATTTTTAAAAACCTTGAATTTTTTTATAGAATTTTGCCCAGCTGCTTAAGCTTTAATTTAAGTCCTCAAACATGAAAAAAAAATTTTATGATACAAACTTTTAATTTGAAAACAAAAATTAATTTTAAAAAATTTTAAATTTTTGAAAAGGAAGACTAAAATTTTCATTTTGGAAAAACAAAAAAAAAATCTAGTAATCAAAAAATTATTTTTCGAAACTTTTCTTGGTAAAAAAATTTATAGGTTTTTAATTTTTGCCAGTTTTCATAAGAAATGGTACCTACATGGTTTGAAATTTTTAAATGCATTTTTCTCAGATTGGGTGCAATTTAAAAATTTGAAAAAATAATTTTCGGAATCTAGACACCATTTGGCATCTAAAGTTATTAAAATTATGCAGTTGAAACGATTTTTTAAGGGCATGCCATTTGAAATTTATTGTAATAGAAAAAAAATTTGTTTTTCAATAGGAAAATTTAAAAATATTCCTATTGAAAACAAAACTAAAATGTATAAAAATATTTTTCGTACAAAATGGAGTTGGTATTAACATTATGAAGTTAATAGATATTTAATAAATAAGTTAATTAGATAAATAAATCTAAAACATATTTCTACAAAAACTAAATTGGCATACAGTTGATGCAACTAAAGTGGGGTTTCAGTAAAGCAATTAATTTAAAATATGCGATAAAGGAGATAAACATAAATTTTTGCCGAATTAGGTGAATTTCATAGGAGAATTTTGTGTTCGTTTTGAGAAATTTGTAAAATTTTTGGATAATGAATTCGTATTTTCCAAATTTTTTGATAAAGGAATATTGAATTGAATTTAATTTTAGTTTTATCAACATCTGGTTTGATTTTAATTGAATTTATATCTCCCAACAACATTTGTGGTTTTTGTACTGTATCTTCTGTAGCCTGACCATTGGTGGAGTGGTTATGACACCGGCCCTTTAACCGAAGGGTCTCGGGTTCAAACCCAGGTCAGGTCACTATAAAAATTATATTCAATGTTATATAACTTAATATGCAATACTAACAAATATTATACAAGTAATTTTCAAATATTCATAATATTCGATACTAAAGACTAAGAAAAATAAACAGTAAATATTAATAAACTGAAATATTTAATATAAATAAAAACTACGGTAGGCTAGTCACCTACCCTAGCTATAGATATCATGCACTAGCCCTATACTCCTCCTAGGAGTGAAGAAGGAAAAACAAAAAAAAAAGATCTTCTGTAAAATGAAAAATTTTTTAATGTTTGAGGACTTAAATTAATGTTTAAACAGCTAGGAAAAATTCTATGAAAAAAATTTCAAAATTTATCTCGTTAGAAAAAACTGAAAAAATCAAGGGAAAAATTTGATTTTCTTTAAAGTTCGAATGCTTGGTATTCCGAAGGTACATAAATACAGAATAAAGCAGCACCGAAGATCTTTTTTAGCACCGAAGTTATAATCAAAAAAACCTGGATGAGTAAAAATTTCGTGAAAATTCATTAAAATTCCTGGAACTCGGAAACCCTTGAGATTCGGCACAAAGTCCGGAAAAGTTTTACTCCTTTGATCTTTTAACCAATGGTATAATAATGGCTTTCAGAAATCACCCTGTATATAATGTCTGTTGGTTTGATTATTAAATTAATTAGTTTTTATACCCGTATACGAATGTATGTATGCCCGAAAGGTATACTAAATTTGTCTTACCGCTAAGAAATGTATTAGAATATATTGCAACGCTAAAAAAATAATGGTCTGAGTTACAGAAATAAGTGTATGTTTTTGATCAGCGTAGAATTCAGAATCGATTTAACCATGTCCATCCAAACTCAAAAACTAATTGACTTAAGATCAGCAAATTTTCTCAAACGATTTCTTATAGGAAATTCCAGATCCCTATTTGAATTGGATATGATCGAGGTTCGGGTAGCTGAAATTATTGAAGCTGTGATATCGAATTTTTTTACAGCCATAATCATAATAAAAATCGATGAAATTTCTTGACTCCTTTTGGTAGCTGCCATACAACTTTAATAGTAGTTTGGACATATCTTAAAAAATGATGAAATAACAGGTTACAAATTTTGCATAAATAAATATGGTGATACGGCAATTTTATAGTTCGTCCCATAGTCATAATCATGGCATATTTACTCTTTCATATAGGATAAAAATTTGTACGGGTATCACTGAGTTGAAATGGTCAACTCTATTTTTTCTCGTTTTAATTTGTATTATGGCACACTATATTATATATATAGTAACCAAATTATATTAAGGATGACGAAAAATTGATTATTAATTAAAAGTGATTATATGTCTATGGGACTATTCAAGAAATATTTCCAATACAATAATTTATGTTATTTTAAAATAAATACATTCAATGTAAAAAAATTGGGTTTAATTGTAAATATAGTTTTCTATTTATCTAGCTATTTTGTTAAAACTTTCTCTTGCAAGTGTTAACTTCCAGTATATTTTAGCAATTTACAGTATACTACTCAAACTACTGTTGCGATCGCATACAAATTAAATTAGATTTTCGCACTTAATATTACAAACGATTTATAAAAATTTTGTAAATTAACTAAGCACTTAATGCTGAGCAAATATTTATATTTCATAAACAACTATTCCGGACTAACATCACAAAGTAATTTAAAAGAAATGAAAATTGAAAAACCAATTCAAAAGTTCTTTGGAATTGGGCACAAAAAACTAAATTTGGTTCTAATAATGGTGTTTAAGAGTGCGTACTGAATAGTCAAATTAAATTTACCAAAATATTATGTGCATTTATTATTGTGCATTAAAATTAAATTTTTAAAATTTTTTTAATTATATTGCTTTTATAATAAATTTTGCCATTCCATTCGAATCCCATGAGACTGAAATAAAATCCATTCTAAAAAGTATCTGTTCAAAAATATAAATGCACTTAAAAAACAAAGTATGTTGCAAACAAAAATATTTGAAAACCCCAATAAAACACACAGAATTATTTATTTAAAATATTTTAAAGTTATCACAGCTGTTGCAATTTTTAAAATAATGTACCTACACATATACAAACAACATTGTATGCAAACAGCAATGCATAAAATGCATTTAATGAAGCGTGAGTCAATAAAAATAGAGCATAATCATATATGTTCTGTATCTACCATATATGCATTTTTAATTCAATTGGATATCACATGTGCGGATATGAATAGTGTCTGTGCATTCAAGGAAAACTTGCTTAAATAATTGAAAACATTTCCATTCTTCTCTATGGCGAACATTGATTCAAATTTGGTAAGAATTGAGATAAAACTACAATGAATCCAATAACCAAACAGACAAATTTTCAAGTTTATAAAATAAGTTTTAGATGTTAAGTTGTACTTTTCAATTAAATTTTTGGAAAGAATTAATAAATTTTTCATTTTTTTGACATAGTTTCGGAATTAATTTAAGCAAGGTCTTTAACAAACTTCTTTCTGACTACACAAATAATTTCATTCATTATAAGTTGTTTACAATTCACTGTTTTATCGTCTGAGTTGCTATATTAGAACTTTTATTACATTAAATTTCGTAGATAAGCTTATCTTACTTAGATGACTAACGCATTCATGTTAAAATTATGAAGGTTATGATCAGCACATAGAAAAATTCTAAGATGCTAATTTTTAGGGAACTCAATTTGCTATCAAATAAAGAAGTATCTAATAAATCGACTTTGGCAGTTTTACTTGTAACCACGGAATTTAACATTAGAAATTTAATATTCATGTTGTCGAATAAAGTAAATATTATAGCAAGTAAATAAATGAAGAGATAAAACAATAAGAATAAATAAAATTTGTTCAAACAATCAATTTGTAAAATAGCACTTTTCCCTTTGACACGTGAAAATGCTATTTTTAATTGTTTAAATTACTTCTCATTAAAATATCAAAAATAATTTTTAAATTATTGCATACATTTAGGTTAAAAGAATTGATTGCGATAGTTAAGACAAAAAAAGCCATACTTTTTTATGGGATAAAATTTTCTTCTAACGAAGAATCACAGGTATTCAAAAATTGCAGACTTCTATATATCACTAAAACAAAAACAATATTAGTGAAATTAACAAATAAACAGGTTTTAATATGATAACGGTAAATTTGAAGGCCATTTTGTATTTTCAATGTTCAACTATATGTGCAACGCCACGGGTAAGAAGAATCATTTTGCGTTTGCGAAATTTAAAAAAAATGTTTGTTGACTTCTTAACAAATTGCCGTTAAGGGGCTGCAAATTTCACAGGAGGTTAAGTTTGTATATAATATTTTTGTGTAAAATCTCAGCTTTCTTTCAAGTTTTGTAAACAGACCAATCAGACGAATGAAACAGACATATGCAATGACAATGAGATATTGAAACAAACGGACGACCAGAGTGAAACTAATAAGCAATTTTTAAAAATTTTATTTTGGAAGTGCTATAAAGTGGAGGAAACAATTTCATAAAATATTTAATTAGTTGCGGATAGTGGGTTGATGATATTGTTTTTTGTTTTTAAGGATTCTATTGTATATAGAAAATTATATTAGAAAATGTTGACAAAATATTATTCAAATATGTGCCAATCGATATAATTAAAATTTATGTATAAAATACAAAATTCAATCATAGTTAAATTGTGGTACAAAAGGGAAATAGATGCGTGTACCATATTGTGTACATAATATTTTAACTAATTTATTTGTATAAAGAATTTCTAAAATTCTCTAATGTATTGATACAATTAGGTGACTAATTTTCAATGGATATCAAAGTATTGGTATACTTATATAAAATAGAATTTTGTTTTATTATTTAATTTGTGGAATTTCTGGAATTTTATTCATTGAAATGGAATAAATTTTGTTATTTATAATTAGCATTAATATTTCATTGGTATATATATATATACTTATTCATTGACCGTTATTATTAGGTATGTAAAATGTTATGAATATTTGAAAATTGAAATTAATGTTATATAGAGAAATATTTGTTTTTGTTTGTAAATTGTATAACAAGATGTAATGATTTTGTAACTTTGTCCTTGTAACACATTACAATTTTTGGAAATAGATTTAGATAAATTGTATTTTTAATAAAAATGTGGAAATCTTCTAATTTTTGTATTTAATTTGTATTGATTTTAAAAAGTTATTTTTAAATTTGACTTTAAAAATTGTAATTTATTAAAGATTAAATACATACATGAATAACATATGTATGTGTATATAAATGCGGATTATGATTGAAATATTTGATATATTTCTGATTTTTTTATGTTTCTATTGAAGTTATGATTAATAATATTACACTGAATATACACTTTGTAATGAGCAATGAACAACAGGAGGCCATAAATCTGTAACACTGCCACATTCTTGCTTAATGTCGAAGTCTAAAGCAATTCAGTAATGCGTATGTCATTTATATTTTAATTTATTGTGTAATATAATTTAAAAGATACCTAACGAAATAATTCAGAAGAAATCATGGCAAATCAAGTGTTCAAATTCTTCCAAGTTATTCTTTTAAAGAAAAGCTGCAAAAGTTGTCTCTGCTCTCTTTCACCAAATAAATTTTATTTAATATGAAGAAAAAATATCCGAATGTATGAATGAAAAAAGTAAAGATTCAGCAGAATAAAAATATCTAACACGCATAATTTTACCAGAAAACAGTCATGAATACCATAAAGATTGACTTTCAAATTCGTTAAATTCCTTATTAAAAATTATCTAGTACATTTGATTCTTTTAAATATTTTATTCAATTTTATATATAGTGATAAATAATGATTATAATAAACTTAATCCTGCAAAAAACTTGTGTGCTGTGTGTTGATTTTAATAAAATTTTTTTTTACCTTTTCTCCACTATCTGATGGTAAATAAAAAACTAAAATTGTTAAAAAACTAATTCCCATACAAGGAATAATTAAGTTGACCGTATAAAACAGTGTCTTTCGTCTCATTGTAATATTAAATGTGATATCTAAATAGGGCTCATCGCAGCATGTGTAGAATTTTTCATTTCTGAAACGATAAAAACAAAAGTATATGAAAATTTTTTTTTTAAAAGGTTAATTGAATATTATTAAATTTTTAATTGTTTTGAAAATGTCCACTTAAAAAGTTTTTTTAGGATTTATTTTTTTAAATATTATTTAATTTTTAATTAAGTAATTTAAAACATTGCATTATGGGTTTCACAAATCTTTTTTTTCCTGACCGAAATCCGTTAATTTCATTTCCATTTAACTTTTGGCTGCACAAATGACTCATATAGCAATATGATGTTTCTCAATTCCTCTTTAATATTTTTATTAAATATGAAGATTAAAGCTATGGTTGCACAATAGTTCTAAATGCTGCTATAATGATAATTCAAGAAACTATTTCAATGCGCCGTCAAGGATTAATTTCAAATTTCATTTCAAAAATAAGGTTGAAATCGTCAAACAAATATTCTTTTTTAATGTTAACCTAATTTAGAAATAAGAGTTTATATCATTAAATATTGAAAACTAAATATAATTGGTACAGACTTACACTATGCCCTCTCGTTCGGTATAATATGCTATGTGAATTTTTCTTTTCTTAAATTGCAAACTGTCGTAGCGAAATCAAAATAATAATTTCTGTGGTAATTAATTTGTATACTTAACTTTGCACATGAAATATACAAAATTCAAAAACGCTTCAAACTTTCTTAAAATTTCATAAAAATTGTTTGAAGCTAGATGATAAGCTTAACCCATTTGTTCCTATTTATTGACGCAGATCTTATATCTAGTGCATGAAACGGAATTACTACAAAAGAGCTAAATTAAACAGCAATTATTGTTCGATATATATGTACATATAAAGGGATGTTTTATTTGGATTACGTCGGTGTTCTGTGCCAATATAAGTGCGCTGACGAAATCTGGGTTAATTGTTAAAGTAAAGAATATTTCTATATGTATGTAATTGTGGTTCGTTTCAAATCTTAAAAATTTAAGATTTAATTACAAAAATCGACTAAGTAATACAAAATCTAATGAGTATTTGTTATACCGTTGTTGTATTATTAACATACAACTAAAACTTTTAATAATGAAATCCTTCAATCAAAATGTCTCAAATTTCAATTATTGTTGTCAAAGAAGATAATAAATTAAATTATAACTGAATTTTGTTAAAAATAATTAACGTCAAAATTAGAAATAAATTTTTTTTAAATATTTTTCATTAGAACGTTTTTAAAATGTCTAAACTAATTTAAGTATGTATATATATATATATATTTAGAAAATTTCACTTTATTTGCAATTTAAAATAATAATTTTTTTATATTTAAAATTCAAAATTTAATTATAGTCAATATATCATTGAAAAATTCCGAGAGAAAAGGAAACAAAAGCTGTTCTGCTAAAACTTACGATATTATAAAAACGGCGCAATAAAAAAATCTGTACCGACTGCTGTCTTTTTATCCAAAAATTATCCTTAATGACATCATTTTGTTTCCTTCATTTTAAATTTTTATTTTATAAAAATTTAATATACACTAATTTATATAAACAAAATCATCATAAGCCCGTGCCAACGAGAAATATATAGGGAATATAAAATACCTGTTTTGAAGGTATAAATTTGAATAAAAATGCAAAATTTTATTTTATATTTTAGGAAAACCGAAAATATGTAGAAGAAAATGTAAAGGAAATTATGGAAAATTTTCAATTTTAAAATTGTTGGTAGCATCTTTTATAACTTTCAATGTACATTTTTCTTTCATTTTTTCCCCAAACTGATATATATATACATATATGTATATACCTATGTACAAACACAAATATTTTTATTTTTGTTGTTTTATTCATTCAATCTGGATGATAAATTATTCAAATAAGTATACAGGTATTATTTAAAGCTTTCAGGAATTAAAGGACAAGAAAAATTATTTTATAAGTGAATAGTGAAAGGTAACATATTAGAATAATAGAAACAAAAAGAAAAAAGGTATAGGCAATTTCATTTTAAATAATTATTATGGATATCCTGAAATCATTATATTTTCGGTCTTAAATTTATTATTATTTTAGAAAACTGTATTATTATTTTATTAATTAACAGCATTTTAACTAATTTTCGGGTTCAAAAAATTTAAATATTAATTATGTTTTTTTTATATATTCAAAAACTTTAAAAAATTTCTATTAAATTATTTAATTAAAGGTACATGAATATAAAATGTCGGAAATTTAAAAAATTTTGGGACAAAAGAATGTTTTGTGAGAAATTTATTAGTAATATAATATTAAAATTACTATAGTATTATAATTGTAATTAATAATAATAAAATGTTTTGTATTCAAGCTTTGTATAATGAAGAAGAAATGTAGTATACTCGTAAAACTATTTGTGACATTATTGAATACGTTCTATTAAATTAAAGCTCTAGAAATAGAAAAAATGACAACACAAATTTCAACAGAACATTGATTTTATTTTATAAAAACCTTTATTTCTAAAACTAAGTCACTTAATTTGAAGAAGAACACATCAATAAATAAAAATCGCAATTGAAAACACTTGCTTTCTAATTTGAAAGAATTTCTTTTAGTATTTTTCATTCAATTATATTTTGAAACATTAATATTTTAAGAATAACTGACGTTTCAAATTAATATAGGGCTTACAACAACCATAATTAGTATATTTTTACATATCGTCTCATTTACATAACCCAAGACAGATGGTTGACCCCCCTTTAAAAAATTTGAAGCCTGAAAGTCAAACCTACCAGAACTTATATAGACTCTTTTCGATTCTATGTTATAAGTCTTCTATAAGGAACTATATGTTCCTTAAAAATAATAAAATTAATATTTCGGATTTGTTCTGCAGTTGTATTAGTTTTACAAATGTGTACAAGAATATTGATAACAGGCTGAAATTTCTTATATGAACTTATTCAAAGTTAACGAAATATAAAAGAGATTTAAACTTATGTTACTTGCATTTCTCAATTGGAATTAATTTTAATTTCTAAAACAAAATGTGAAATAAGTAAAAACAAATTACTTTGTGCATCATGGTATGTACATTGATCTCAATAATTAATAACATCTGTTATGCATTTTGCAGTATATTATAATAATGGTTTATAAGTATATATATTGAATTTATTGGCTTTTATATACAAAATTTTTGATTAAGCAGGCAAAAGATAATAATATTTTATAATCAAGCAAAAGAGCAATTCAACATTTTAGGATTTACAGAAGAAATATCATTTGGTGTATGCGCAAGACTTTTAGAGTTCATAATATATACTTTTTTAACTTTATATAATTGTAATAATAGTAGTTGTATAACTGTAGTATTTTACATTATATATCGTGAATAAAAAGTACTCATTATGAGTTCTTCCACTTATAATTATGTAAAGTATTATTTTAACTATTGACTAACAAAATATTTGCCTGATAATATTTATATGCAAATATTTTTACATTTATGTGTATATGATATTATTATTACACTATATGTATGTAAGTAAATTATTCATCAAATAAGAATAATCTCCTTTATAGTTTGTAATATTTTCAAAATTTTTATGTACGTATTCATGTACATATGTTTGCATAATCTTTTAAGAACTTAGGCAAAATAAATTAGATCGTTCGAAGATTATAGTATTAAATGTAAAAATCAAAATAATCAATTTTCTCCCAAGAACCGATAACTGTCTTAGGCACATAAATCACTTATAAATATTTGAGGAGATTTTATGTGCCTCAGCTACCAATTCAATATCTTTAAATTGAAGCAAGAAACTAAACACCAAATTGACACCTTATAATTTATATTTTCAGAAAAGTATTACAATTATTATGCGAACACAAATCAGCCTCAAGCTTATTTTATTCCGTTGACTCTTCTTAATTATTCTGCTCTCACAGACATCAATAAATCAATATTTTTCAAAATATGGCATAAAGAAATTTGGTCACCTAACATTTAATCTGATTATTTAAAATTAAAATATCCTTGAATCCAATTATTTATCTTATAGCAACTATCAAATTTCGACATCCTAAAGTCTATGTAAATACAAGGATGTAAGAAAAATTTATATCGGTAGAATAAAATAGAATAAAATTTTTTCCTTCTTTCTTAAGGTTTAATGAGCAAACACTTACAGAAATCATGTATTTAATATTTATTTTAGTTTTAATAATAATTATTTAAAGTGTATGTCGTAGGATTTAATTAAATTTGAGGGGAAAAATATATATATAAATTTTGAACAATTTCTTTTTAATTACACCAAAATTTCATACCATTTATAAAATGTGATATGCAAAAAAAAAAAAAAGTTAGAAGAAATAGTTTTTTGAGAGATGGGATGCTTATTTTTGTAAACCTCTAATTGTATAAGTGTAATAATTCTAATAATTCATAACATGCTAACATAATTTTGGGTTTTTCGTATTATAGAGGATTAAATTTCATAATTATATAATAGTTATTTATTTATTTGTGTTTGTATAGACAACACTTGCGGTAATGAAATTTGGTTTAATATTTTTTTATATAAATATAGAATTTTAAAAGTAAAATATTAAAAAAGTACTCGTATTAATTTGAAGGATTAAAATATTAATCCTTCAAATCGATATCAGGTTAGTTTTCAAAAAATATTTATATATAGAGTGGTGTGTGCTTTAAATAATAGTATATATATATAGATAAATAAATATAATGCCTTTTAAGTAAATTTAATTCTAATTCTCTTACATTCAATTTCCACGAAAATCTTATAAATAAATTTGGAATGGTAATAGACAAAAAGTTGGAAATGTTAATGAGAAGGGTTTTTCAATTCAATTAGCAAAAGTATATTATAGTATGTTTTTGAGAGAAAAATTAATGTATGTTAAGAAAATGAGGCAAAGAACACTAATTATGTAATTCAATTAGAAGTTGAATTATTGTCCAGACTAATTACTTAAGTCAACTAAAAGATTACTGTAATTTTTATT